TTTGTGGTGATATCTTCCAGCTTTTCGCCGGCCCGGACGCCGGAACGCTCATTATCAAGCCGGAATTCTGCGCCGCAATCAACACCTTTTCTTAATTACGAGCCGCGACAGCCACCCCTTTAACCGAATTTCGCAAAAATATAAACGGCCCACCAAATAGTCTTTCGCTCTGTGGGAATGATCTAGAGTTCTAGACAATTGGATTGGTTTCAGGAATCGCATTTAATGTTAAACTGTTTGTCCGAGTCGAGGATTTATAATCTTGTGCGATAAACATGTCGAGATCGAACAATTGGAGATTTGGTAATTAAGCGCAGATGTGTGAATAATTGTGCTCTTCTTTGTAATTTAATTAAAGCCACGTATTTCCCGGTGAAAAAGTGCGAGCAAACGTCTAGGTTGAGTTATGCCCCTACACAACACGTGACCAAGGAGGGGGTTGATCAATAAAACATCTCCCCTACGTCACCCACCCCCACATCCACAGAAAGAAAATCGTTACTGAAGAATCTAATAAATGCGTGTGTAAAAATTCTCCGAGCATCGATTACATTTCGTGGCCACGGTGTAGATGTAGAGGAATGTAGGCACAAGGTGGCCTAAAAATACATCAAAAATTCTTTCATGAGCCGTGAAGCATAGCAACTGACAGTGCTATGAATATGTAACAATGTAACAAGGATCCGGTTTTTGGTACAAAAAGACCAAGACCTTCACCTCGAACGGGTTGTGACACTGGACCTCCTGTGATACGAACATTTGTTTATATCTCGGCTTGCTTAGGTTCGGACACTATTAAAAAACTGTTAAGTCATTTGCAGAAACTCAGTTCTTCGCATATTCCCAAGAAGGATAAATATTGCGCTTAGCGGGACGCCGATGGTGTCAGATGTGCTATCTGCAAACACATCTGCTCGAAACCATAATACAATGGATGATATTTTTGATAAATGCCCATCCTACCTGGACACGCACCCCTGAGGCTCGAAAAATGGTAGCCGACAACGCAACAGCGAGCCAAACAAATTCCTTTCATTCTCTAGATATTATTTTATTAATTTATTTCAGTAAGTTTGATTGGTCCCTCCTGTTTAGTGACAAATTGGCAAGCTATTGCTTGCTTATCCCACCCTTGAGACAAAGCCACCCCTTCTTGTCACAAAAGATGCTTCATCTTGTCGGCCATCTTGAACCACTCCCACGTACAAAACAAGCAAGGAAAAATGTATTAGAGTGACCAAAGATAAATCAAAATTGGGCAAGAAAATGAATTGTGGCCAATCAGTCTAAATGGTCACTTCCAGGCGATAAAGATTAAAAAGTGGCCATAAAGCGTCCCCAGCTTGTCAGGACATTGTAAAAGGTGAAAAATCGGTAATAAAATATTGACTGGGCGTCGGCAAAGACGGAACCGGTCGTAAAATCGGCTAACAAAGACATTAATGTAAATGAAGTAATAAAATCGGAGGTACATCTGTTTGTATAAAAGTGCCGAAAATTTTATAGCGTTTTAATTGTTGGTTGATGAATAGCTGCAGGTCGATAAGATAAAGCATCAATGAGCAATCTAATGTACCACTTAAAAACCCATTAAAGAACACTCAAAAGTGACAAGCCATAAACCTCCAGAATGAAGAAGTAACATGTAATAAAAGCCTAACACACTTCTCGGTAGTTAAACTGATTTTTATGACCTGTAAACGTGGTCGTAAAGTCGTAATGTCCCTCGTATTACGGTTGCATGTTTACATGTTTTACTACATCAGTTAGTTGAATCAACAAATACTCGGCTTTTATTGCTCGTTATTCATATTTAGTTTATTTGTGAATGATCGTCAAGACACTTAAATTAACATAATTACCGAAACACTTCATCAGGAACATTTCCGAAACACGTTGATAAATAAATAAAAAAGTGGCCATATTTATTCGCAAGCGTAACATCATTGCCAATCCCCTCTGGTAGATTTTGGAGGCACTTGTTAGAGATTTGTAATAAAACGGCCGATAGAAGAGAAGGAAAACGACCGTTTAGGGTCGTCTGTCCCTTAAGGGTTTGAATCTGAACTTATGGGAGCAAATTCAATCCGAACTGTAAAGTAGGTGCCGTACAGACACGCCCACTTTGAATACATCAACAAAAAAAATTAATTAAGCAATTGGAATTCGGTACAAGTCACTCCCAAACAAATTTCACACGACTAATTACTTATTTCAAGCAGCACCTGTCAATTATATTTAATTATAAAAATTAACTTTTAAATTACATTGTGACAAACATTCCTGAATTAAAATAAATAAATAATTTAGTTTAAAAAATATAAATCAAAAACGAAATTATTTGAAATTATTATACAAAATGTGCGTAAATGAAACACAATCAAGTCGTAAAATATCGGCTTTCAATATCGCAACGTGCCTTGGCCGCAGCGCTGCCACCTATCCCCTAGTAGCCGAACTATACACCATAAACAGCTTAACGACTTGTCTAGCCTGCCTCAGAACCAATTTACGAATGGTTACTATAAACTGCCTACGCACTTTAACAGGCCTCATTCTTTTCCTCTTTCTTATCTTTTTTACTAACAATTTCTACTACGACCGTACATAATACTAAAATCTTATCTTTTCCACCCTAAAATTAAAGATTTTTTTGTGGAGATCGCAATTAAACAAATTATTACGTCATTTGTACCAGTACAAGTTAATGTAAATTACGCGAGATGGCTCCACATGCCTACAATAAATGTGAGTAATTTGTTGGAAAATTGTAGGAGTTTAAATGCTCCGCCCACCTTGCTTATGATTCGTTCATTAATTGTTTAATGGATGCTTGAATACATACTTTGAAGTACATTAAATTTTGCATTAGAGAAATTAAATAGAATTTAGTCATTCGATAAAATTAATCCATCTTTGAAGTTATGAAATATGCCTTTTTTGCAAAGAATTTGGTAAAAACGAACTATGGTATAGATGTTCTTGTGAACATTGGATTCATACAAGCTGTTTAGGAGCTGGTCGTCCACATGGATATATTTGTGATTATTGCAAATAAAATTTAAAATGTTAAATTGTTATCGCAAAGTAAAATTATTTTTTAAAACGAAATATAATCTTCTCTTGAGTTATTTATTAATATAGTTTAGTTTTTTACTTTTTTGGTGTGCAATTTTAAAGTATATAGTTTTAAAGTATATAGTTTAAAGTATAATAGTTAACTTGTTTCAATTTATCGCCATTGCACTTATACTTGAGCGGCATTACCCTACTCAGTTGGGCAATTCGCGCTTTGTGCGTTATTGTAAAATCTTTTTTTACATGTTTTTTTTTACATGACTTTAATTTTAAGGATTTTTTACATAGAGTGGTTTCTTTACATTTCAGGCAACCAATTGGCGAAAATAGAACCATTTACATTAGTTTCCCCTTTCATTCTAGGTACGTAAAAGTTCAACAATGCTACTAATTTCGAACTGTCTATGTGACTTTGTTTACAAAATAAAACTACATTAAATTTCCTACGTGTTTGTAGCCTCACTTGGTTAAATTTGTGTAGTAACATTTCATATGAGTAACCTTCTTATTCAGGGTAGCTACTGAATTTGATATAATGCAATTATACGCAAATGGGGTGGTCATAATTTACGTGTAATAAATGAAAATATCAATTTGAAATGTTTCACAAAAAAAGAACTCAAATTAATTAAATCAAAGTTAGCTATAATAGATTTATTGATAACAAATAATTAAAGTTCTCTCGATTTTGAACTAAATCAGCCGGTCCGATTAAAAACAGACACTTATACCTTAGTGATAATATTACTAATCTAGTTCAAAATTTCTTCAAAAATTGAATTCGTTTATTATAATTCCCCAACATTAACGTTTTAAAGTAGTAGATACATCGTCAATAGCAACATATCTTATTATGAATCTATAAAATACGCTGATGCATATTTTTTTATGTCAATTTTAACATTATTTTGACAGATATAATAATTATATTATATAATAAAAAAATTTCTTATTCAATATTAGTCTTAGAAAAAATCTTGAGACAACACGAGTTTTATAGTTTTAAAATCTCAGCCTATTAATCGCTTCTTACGGTCGCTCAAATTTAAACTACGACCTGGATTTTTAAACTGTCTATAAAGCTCTAGTTGTGTTAATAACTATAAGTTACTGCTACACAAAATTTAAAAATTTTTAATTGCTTGCAAAAACAACTATTGGATATTTCAGCAGTTTCATTTTTGTGTGTAGGTACTTTTTCTCTAGTGTTTTAATTCTGTTATGACAATCTAAAACTTTCCAAATTAAAAAAAAAATTAACCTGATGATTTGGTTTTGTAATTGTTACGTAATTATGTAACGATTAAATAACATTTTATTGTCCTTTTATTCAGTTATCATTGAGTAAAATCTTGTTTTTGTTATTTTTATGAATTTATTTCCTAAAAAATCGTAATAATGGCATCGATGTTATCATCGTTGTTAGTTATTAGATTTGAAATGGTCTCTCTCTTAATTACAATTCTAGCGGTCTTTCGTAATGAATGCTCTAAGTTAGCTTTTCTATAGTGTAAGAAATGCAATTAAATTGATCAATTATGAAACATCAGAGGGGTGTAGTCTATATCCCCGAACGGAACGCTTGCCAGAATGCAACCGGGGCGCCATCTCTCACGCCAAGTAATTACGCAAGGGGATTTTCTCCACTCGAAGATTAAACACTAAAATTCCGTACATAAATTCAGAGGCATTACAAATAGCCGAATGGAAACACAATTATCTTAATTTTCTTTTGCTGGCGATTCTTAGGGGCTGATAATTTTTCAACTATTTACAACCCTTATTTTTGAACAGTTAAAGACATACCGCAAAGTTGCGGTTTCTTGCGCCATTCGCACGTTCCGATAGTAAACCGCAAAGCCGCGTGTTTGAATAGTCAGTTTTAAGCTTGATAGTGAAATAACGAGGTGTTAAGAACTTACCTTGTTTTAAGAGTTATGCTGATCCGCCAACAGCACCGAAGTAATCCACTAATTCGGGTCCACTTGTGCGGCGACGGCTGCAGCTGCCGCCGCCGCTTTTTGAGCCTGTGCTTGTTTTTCTTGCTCGTTGAGTTCTTTGATCGCTTGGATCTCTTTCTTGAGTTTCATGCGACGATTTTGAAACCAGATTTTTATCTGTCGTTCGGTAAGACACAGTGCGTGAGCCATTTCGATCCGCCGCCGCCGTGTCAGGTAATGGTTTGTGTGGAACTCTTTTTCCAGTTCGAGCGTCTGGTACCGGGTGTAAGTCTGACGGCCTCGCCTTCGAAGACCATTCGCACCTAAAAACGCCAAAATTGTAACAACGGACTAATACTAATACCTACTAATACTAAGTAACCCAAAATTTCTATGTAGGTACATACCTAGTAGTAACTAAAAAATTTAAAAAAATATTCTACAAAAAAATATGTTTATTAAAAGTAATAGACTTTGTTTATAAGACCCTTTTAATAAGTTAAAATTGCTTTTATTCAGTTGTTTTATATCTATATAATATACATATCTATACGGGGTGCGCCAGAACTCGCGCCCCAGAGAAAATTTTCAAGTAAAGTAAGATACCAGGAACATGAAAAAAATGTATAAAAACTTCTATCCGTCAAAAAATTTTTACACATATTTTTTGACATTTGATATTTTTTTTATTTCTATTTAGTGTTACTGATGATCTTGTATATGTTTTTTTACAATTATTTAGTAAAGGGACAAAAATTTTGACAATAAAAGCCACAAATAACATTGAACAGAGTTACAATTTAGGATACAGCTTCCTTGTTTCCTCTTTTAATAGCCTATAGCAAAAAAACTTGGAAAATAATTTTTTCAACAGAAATAAATAGAGTCAAAGTGCAAACTTTAAACCCTCATAACTTTTTTTATAGATATTTTTTTTAACATTTTTTCCATGTTCCTGGTATCTTACCTTATATGGCATTTTTCTCTGTGGCGCGAGTTCTGGCGCACCCTGTATAGTTATTTCAATGTATTTAAAATAAAGAAGAAAATAAAATATTACGTGTTATTTGCCTGAGTAAAATCAAAAAAGAGTTGAGAGATTAATTTATAATTTTAAGTCTAAAAATTTATACATACCTACTTAGAAAACAAGTTATTACCTAATGTCAAAAAACGTATTCAATAGGTAATCAACAATTTAAAAAACCATACTACCTATATCTACACTGAGCAGCAAAATTATGGAATAATCTTAATATAATTAAAATATTTTTTTTGCAAAAATGCTCGAACAGGTCAATATTCTTTTTAAATAAATTCCTACACAATTCTCTTCTCGACTTGATTAAAAATTTTACACCCCTTTGTTTTTTAAGCAATGAAGTCATCATTAACATTTTTTTAAATAGAAACGCCTGCCTTATTTTTTTACCCAGATAAATCTTGTAATTGTCAAAATAACAACACCAAATGTTACATAACAAAGTTTTCGAAAAAAAATTATTCAAAAACTGAAAAACGTAAGTTTTAATCTCAACAAACCAAAAAGTGTAAAATTTTAAATCAAGTTGAAAATTGTTTATTTTTTTAAACAAAATTGACCTGGTTGAGCATTTTTACCAAAACAAAATATTTTCAGTTTTAATAAGATTATTCCTTAATTTTGCCGCTCACTGTAGGTAAGTATACATATGAAAAAGGCTCGGATTATATGCACGAAAAATGCGTAAAATATTATAATATATAATATAATATATAATATTTTCACAAAAATATGCACAAAATATTAAGAAATATGCTCGAATATATGCCAAATATGCATCGATATGCAAAACTTTTAATAAAAAATCAAAGTTGGAATAAATTTTTATCCTCGAGTACACTAAAGTTTATATTTTCATCATCTTGAACCGCACACGATGAACGAAAGAGAATAAATAAATTGGTTTTGCCTCAGACAAGCCATTTTAATAACCTGCTAATTAAGCCTTTCTAAGAAAGTATGAAACCAGACTATTTATTAAACTATTTATTTTTTTAAAAACTATTTGTTGAATTAAATGTTTTATCAAGAATAAAATTTTTCAAATTTTTTGTTTTTGTTTTTGAGTTCTACAAAAATTTAATTTTTTTAAATGGTAAGCCACTAAAAAAAATGTTTTGTATATTCTCCCAAAAACATCTGTGTTCGAGACTGCATTTTATTAATTTTAAAAAAAAATACAAAAATTACAATTTTGACACAAAAAATAGCATAACTCAAAGCAAAAAAAATTTAGTTTTGAAAATACGATCAGATTTTTTATATTACTTTATTTTATATTAATTATTATTTTCCAGAGGCAAATAATTAAAAAAAAACCGTTTGGTTCTAAACTTTATATTCACCCTGTATAAAATGAATTTAAAAAGGAAACACTCAGCAGGATACTAATTCCTTGAGTCCCGCTTACGAATTACTGGTTGTTTTCTTTTTAACATATTTTGTAATCGGATCATTTTTCTTAAACTGGCCAATTTTTAACTTGAACTGAAATTTTTAATCGGAAATTTGTGATTTAAAGAAAATATGCACAAATATGCATTATTTCCTAAAATATGCACGAAGTTGCCAAAATATGCATTTTTTAATTGACTTATTTTTATCAAAAAACATTAGGTATGCATAGAAAACTTACAATTTTGTTGATATACCCCTTAATAACAAATATGCATTTTGCATATAATCCGAGCCTTACATATAAATGTAACAGCTAAATATGCATTCATAAAATTTTCAATGGTTATCTATACCAAGTGAATAAAAAGTATGGAACTAAACGTTGCTTGAACCATTTATTTTTTTAAAAAACTAAGTGATAAATAATAAAGTATCTATATAAAAATGTGATGTTTTAACAAGAATAAAATTTTTCTTTTGTTTTTGAGTTCTACAATTTTTTTTATTTTTTTTAATGGCAACCCATTATATAACAATCATTTTTCTCATAAAACTTATGATCTAAGGATTATAACTATCTACTTTATATTTATTTATTTAAAATAATTTTTTAACATAAATTCCAGTTTTAACAAAAAAAAATCGCATAACTCAAAACAAAATTTCTTTCTCAAAATACGATCACATTTTTTATATTACTTTAATTTATTTTTATCATTATTTTCTGGAGGCAAGTGATTTAAAAAAAAACCGCTTAGTTCCATACTTTATATTCACCCTGTATGTATCCTATTTGTTCAAATTATGGAAAAAATGCTTTAAAAAAACTCCGTTTTTCTTGCCCCCAGAAACTATTTTTTAAATTTCTTCAAAGTTCAACGCTTCATTGCGATTCAATCTGATCAGTCCCTAGCCTCAATTTCATGTTAAAATCTACATAAAACAACCGATAATCGTCGATAATAACATTAATAACCCTTTCTTAAAACTGCGATTACTATCTCAAACTATGCAGCGTTTTTGAGTTCAAAAAACCACCGAAAAACATAAGATGAAGTTCAATTTTAGTCGTTGAAACTATGTTAGCGTTTTAAAAATTAGACTTACCGCATCTCCACGTAAAATCAGGTTTAGTTAGCCATCAATTACCCGGAATGGCGTGCCTGCACGATACTGCATCCAACTCCGACTGAAAGGCTTCCCAGAGCCGGGTGTCCACCATTGGCGTACTGGTAGACACCCTGCTGTTGTTAAAAACCTTCAAGGACACGACGGGGATAAATCATCCCGTGCCAGGATAAGTCAAAAAGCTCGCGGTGATTAATCAGGCCGAGTCGGAGACGCGACTTGTTTATGGGTGTATTTATCTGGATAAACGAACGGCCGTTCCTCGTATATTAATAAGAATGGTATTAATTTATCGGGAGCTTTTGCATAGAATCGGCGATGTTTACGACCGGATCGATAATTGCGTGCGAGGAAGCTGATTGAGATATTTCCCTAGACGAAGCAGAGGCTACTTGAGTACGTTTTATTGCCCTGGCGAGGCATATTTCGTTAATAGCATGAGTTAACGCATTAAAAGTCGTTTAGTAATCTTCGTGCATCGAGATATGTAAAACGAGAACATGCCGAGAAGGTAATGAAGACGATATCGACGGGTGCTCGCCTGGTCCATCAATATCTAGCAAAGGAGATATCATCGACATCGCAAATATCGCTCAGATACTAGCAGAAAACTGACCCGAGAAATTATTTTTTTTTCAAATTAGAAAAGCAGAAAATGAGCCATTAACTTAATTGGATAATAAGATGCACGTGACCGCAGACGAGACCGCAAAATGCCTTAATGCTATTGGTTTAGGTTAAGGGATGGTTAGTGTAAGCCAATTAGTGAGAAATACCTGCGCAAATATTTAAAAGAGAAACGCCATTTGTAAAATGTCTGGCTTATCTGATCAGAGAAAACATTTGTCTCGCCCTCCAAGAAAAACAAAAAATCCACATAAATAAATTCTTTAAAATATTTGATAATAAAAATTACGAGGTTATTACAAATAATTCTTACATCCAATGAAATTTTGCGTTTACACTGCAATTGCATTTTCTTACTTGAAAGTGACCCGTTTACTTATGTGATTCTAAAGGTTTATAAAAACTTAAATTTTGATACAAATCGGAAGAATAGCTAAACTGGAAGAAAACATATATTATTGTATCTTATTATGCCAACGAAGATTTATGAATAGTGAGTTCCAAATTGGGCCAAAAGAATGAATATCTTGCAAAATATTCCAATTAAAATGTCTAATGGACCCAACAAATTGACAGACGGAACACTTTTCTTTGATTTCTATTGTACTCCAATGTTAGAATCATTTATAATAATTCTTCCTTTTTCGTTCTCGAAATTATTTTCTTTTACTATTTTTTATTAATATTTTCGCAAAACAACTTCAATCATCATTTTTAAACAAATTCGAAAATTATAAAGATTGGTGCATATACTCGTACTCGTAATACATACCTACACAAACGAAGAAAACGTATAATAATCGTTTAAATCGACTTTTAAAACTGAGAGGTTGCCCAAGGGGGTACCGAAAGTATCACCACTCATATGTAGTTAGAAACATTTTTTAATAAAACGGCAAAACTGCTACTGTATGCCAAAATTTTGCTACAGAATGAGTAAAATTCCGTGTGCCACTCGAAAGCCCATTGCAAAAAGCATAGCTTAAAGGGTAGGTATGTCAGTCAGATATAAACAAAAATGACCCTATAAATCCAGCTTATTATAAGAGCTTTTAAGTACAAACACAACATGATTCTAATTTTCTTTAAAGTTGGTCCAGTCTCAGAAATCAATTTAACGAACTATAG